TTTGGTGAACTACAAAAATTGTTAAGAAAAAAATCCAGTTTCGCTTTCAGTGGCAGTTTCTTCAAGGCTCATAATACAATAATTTTCTTTTGGTAAATTTCTTGGGAAAAATTTGACATTTATAACAGTTATTTTTTTTTCAATATTTTAAATACAAATAAATCAGTATGTACCGATATTTATCTTACCTGTCATGTCCAATTTATCCAAGATTCTGATAAAAATAGGTCGTGCGTATGAAGGGAGAACTTTTTTCACGCCTTGTGCAAGTTCCCTTAAATTTAAGGAATGTTCTGGGTCCAAAATGGCCGCCATTCCAGCTCTGCCTTCTTGACCTTTCACCTCGACTCCATATACCACAACATCTTTGTAAGAAATTAAATTACTTAATACTGCCTCCACTTCGGAAGTTGATACATTCTCCCCTTTCCACCGGAACGTATCACCCGTTCTGTCTTTGAAAAACAAGTTTCCATATTCGTCAGCCACCAAAATGTCTCCTTAATAAACAATTAGTTAAGTTAATAATCGTTATTCGTCCTTTTTAATTATTATTATCTACCTGATAAAAATGCTGCGTCTCCTTTTTTAAAAACGTCCCTAATTACTTTTTTTTTCGAAGCTTCTTCGTCGACGTATCCCAAGAAGGCTCTTGTAGGGTTGTTGGGGATAATTTTTCCGATAAAAACGCCAGGCTCATTCGGCTGACAAAGTTGACATAAACCGTTAGCATCTCTAATTGGCTCACCTGTTTCAGAATCTACTTTGATAATTGAAATAGGATAAATCTGGGGGAGAATTCGGGAAACAAATCCAATTGAACCGACCGTATTATCAACGTTAACTAAAAATTTAAACAAATCCGAAATAAAAAAATTAATAAAATAAAGCCTTTTTTACTGCATTACCTATATTGGCATTTCCTTCCGTTGCTCCATAAAATTCTGCTACTTTTGGAATGTTAAACCTGTCGACGAATTCGCTCCAAATTTGTGGCCTTAAACCGTTTCCAAATATCATCCTAAGACAATGATCCTTATCCGATGGCTTTGGAGGAACCGCAAGGATATATCTGCACATTTCTCCAATATATTGCGCTACCTAGAAACGAAATTAAAAAACAATAAGCAAATCAACTGAATGATAACATTTCAGAATAAACTTACAGTGCATTTGTACTTTTTGCAATCAGAAAAATAGGATGAAGCTGAAAACTTTTTGCGAATAACGAGGGTGCTGCCAAAAATTAGCATTTGACCCACAGACATGCAACCCCCTGCTGTATGGTAAAGTGGGAGGGGTGTGTAAAATATGTCATTGTTTTTGAAACCAGACAAATGATGAATAGCAGCTGCTATGAAAACATACCTAAAAAAAGAAAAGATTTTACTACCTACCTCAAAGTTTTGAAAAATTATTTTAATTTTTAATATACCTGGCATTACTTATTACTGCGGCTTTGGGAAGTCCTGTTGTACCTGATGTGTAAATATAAACTAATCTGTCGTGATAGCCCACTGTGGACGGTATTGCAGGCGGATTAGGGGATGCTTCGTTTAATAAGGAGTTCAAATTTTGAAATCGGAGATCTCCGCTTCCAATTTCATGCTTCGAAGAATTACTTTTCAGTTCATACAAAGCTACCGTAGATTCAATTTTATCAAGCACTTCTCTGATTGCTATAAAGTAAATTAATTGATATAAATTAATGAATGGAAAAAATGTGTGTAATTCTATACGCTGGAAATCCAACCAGTACCTATATGGACTGTTTTAATGAAAATGATAACAATATAATTCGAAAAAGAGAAAAAAATACTTTCGGTTGGATTCCGAGAACCGTATAAATAAAATTGCCACATTCTCAGCGATTTTATTATGCAATACATTCAGCAATATTAATATAAAATATAACTAAAATTTCCAAGGTGATATTGTTAATAAATGAATATCGCATGTGGGAAGCACAAATGAATGAAATGATTACTACAACAGGTATTTGTTCTTTGTACTGCAAAAATGAATTTTTTATTTATTTTTCCATTGTTAAACTCGCGAGACAATAGAAGATTAATATGATAGGAAAATAACGCATTTTTTTAAAACATACAATACGACTTAAAAGGGTTTAGAAAATTTTAAAGTTTTTGGTATTTAAAAAAAAATTCTTGAAATCCAAAAAAAAAAAAATTTACCTTCCGAAAGTTCACTTCCAAAAATAACAGCTTGACTTTTAGCTATCGTTATTGAATGTACTAGTGGCGTCATCCTTTGATGGGTATTTATAAGGGGTATGATAACTCCTAATTTTGATAATCCTAGCCATGTGCAAATAAATTCGGGTTTATTTTCAAGAAACAGGGCAACAACATCACCCTTTTTGTAACCGTGACTTTTAAATGCATTTGCTATTTTGTTGCTGTACTCTTCAACCTAAAATAGTAAAAAAAAACAATAAGTTCAGATTAAAAAAAAAAAATCCTTAATCGTTATCGGTTTAACAATAATTTAATTTTTGTTGTTACTGGAGATAAATAAATTAATGGATATAGATATGTGTAAATGAATGCATTTACTGGTTTACTTTATAACAGTAACACGACCTACTTCACTAGAAAGTAACTAAATGAAGAAATGCTAACACAGAAGTTTTAAAATCTTTCCTATATATTTATGCGTATAAAATGTATGGTGTATTATATTTCTTATTTTAAAAATGCGTACCTGCTGGAAAGTCCATTCTTCATCTTCAAAAATTATGGCCACCTTGTTGGGATGTTTTTTGGCATTTTGACGAAATAGATCGGCTATTGTGAGGTTTTTTCTTTCGTGAAGTTTTATTTTTATCAGTACTTTTATGTATCTTGATACGGCCCTGTAAATTAAGGTAAAAGCATGCATTATAATTCTCACGAAGAAAATCGAAAATATAAAAAACTAAAACGGCATTCGAACTGTTTACAATTAACACTCCTATGACCATACCCCACGTAATTCTAGTGACACATAGGGGAAAAGAGTTTCAGTAAAATGATTATTTAATTATTAAAATAAACTACGGCCTTAAAAAATTAAATTGCAATTAAAAATACCAAATAATGATATACTTCGAAAAATTATGCTATTTAAATATATGTTAATCAAATCTTTGGTTTTTTCCACTGATAGATAGCATGAGTCGCAGACGAAAACGAAATATCCAATTAATATTTTAGAAATAAATATGATGATTTGAAGTTTGGTAAACATTTAGTAAATATTTGTAGACAATAAGAAAGATGCCA